ATTAAGGAAACTTTGATTCAGAAATATTTTCTTTCCCAGCATACTATAAAACTTTCACAGGTTATGTTTTTTTTTATGTGCAGATTTTCCACATGCGATTATTTTTTTAATACAATGACTATTTTTGAAACTACTGAATAGTTTCTAGATATTTAGAAGCAAAATTTATTTCTGAACAGCAAGTATTAAATAACAAATCACATTACAATACCTGGTATGATTACTGTCTGCAGTTAAACATGAATTGATGTTCTAAATGCATTTGAATAAAAATTATCGTACATTCAACATTTGCAAGAGTGAGCGATGTCAAGCTGGGTCAAGCTGGGAATATTCAACATACCTTAACTTTTGTTCAAATGGGCCAAGAGCATTCATTATTGTTTTACTGCATACAGTATTCTTTCCAGATTATTATGGCATACTTATTTCCTTCGTAACTCTCACAATTTATAAATTAGTCTTACTCCTAGCAATATACATGATATTTCTGATATTTTAAAAACAGCAAATTGTACAAAACATAATCTCATATTTGAAATCAGGACAAAGAAAATGCATAAGCTACAAAAGTTTCATTAAAATCTACTCAAATATAAGAAATTATGTATCTAAAGCAGGGTCTCCTTTTAAAGAGAACATGTGTGAGGCGTACGTAGCAAGCCAACTGTTGCTGAACTGCACAGTCATACTGAAATGACCGTCCAATCACGTAACACAGTGGAAAGATCACAACCCTTTACATTTAGAAATATTTGGTGCAATCCAGCAAACAGATACTGTTCTAAAAGTCAGAAAATGTTCCATACAAAAAAATCACATTTTTATGCTTATGTATCCTTCCGGCATTCTTATAGTTGCTTAGAAGCAGTGGTGGTCTAATAAATGGAGCAATATTTGGAGCAAAAAAAAAAAGCTGTTTAGGAGCACATTTGGAGCAGGCGAAAATTGGTTTAGAGCAAGTTTGGAGCAGGTTTGGAGCAGCAAAAACAGGATTTAGGATTACTTGGAGCAGTACATGCAATTTTAGTGAATGTCACTATTATAGTGTGCATACTAAAAATGGTGCTGCAATGTAACCAAGGAAGCAAGGCCACCATCAAGAGAACAGCCATTAAATCATTTTCTTAGCATGAGAGAATCACATTCTGGTTCGAGTCGTAGGTGTGACTACTCACTCGATTGGGGAATATATAGGGCAACCTGCTAATAGGCCAGATGACAATCGATTGTCACGAGGAAGGAGTGCCAGTGGCATTTTGCTTTGTATTTTTGTTCTGGGGGAGGGCGGTCAATGCTCCCCTGACCCCCACGATCCCCCACCCCTTATATCCGCCATTGACAGGGGTCTTAATATTGGATCCACATTGAGTTGACAGCTCTGCAATACAGTATGAACTTCACGTACCCACCAGACACTGAAGAAATTCCCGCAACAATGCTCATCCATTTGTGATATGCAAACAAACAGTTGCCGCACTGGGCATGCTCGCAAGCATAGTATTCAACAAGCATGGGAAAGAATCGACTAGAAAGATATACAAGCTGGAAAGACCGACCTTTTTTTTTTATCAATTAATAGTAACATCAGTTCATTATTCTAACAGCATTTAGGACACATGGGAGCACCTGTTCTTTATATACGGACGACTGCAAGGCTGAATGTCTATGAGCGCTGGCTTGCCACTGCATTATGTCGATTTTACAATCAGAACGTACGATGAGGGCTTGGACGTGAGCAAGCAGCAGTCATAGCACGTCATGCCAGACATGCTCTACAAGGGCATTATCGCTTAGCTTTATGATAGGCATACCAAAGAACATTGTGTAGCCCGATAAAGAGGCGTGAACTTTTTTGCGAACTATCAACCTTGCACTGCCGAATCTTCCTTTGCATGATGATGCTATTTGTAGCACACAATGCTAATAAATGTTGTTGCTTAGCCTTAGGTGCTACATAACAGTGTGCAGAGTGCCTTGCACATGAAAAAGATAAATTTCCTATATGTCATCACAAGTTTCCTAACAAATAAGAAAGAATGGCACGCTAAACTTTGAACTGACACACACGCGGCGACACAGAGACTTTGGTTAGGCTGATTATAACGGCGAAAAGCACGTCGCTAGAATGGAGTGAGGGCATCAACAGCATTATGGAAAGGCTTTAGCTGTGTTTGTTATGACCAAGAAGAGTTTTGGGCCAAATACGGGCCGACGCTACGCAAACAGATGGATTAGTGAACTTGGGTGCACTTGGTGCACGCTGAACTCTAATGTGCGTAACAAGGCATAGGAATACAGAATTGTATCAAAATGGCACAATTGGCACAGTTGGACCACCACTGTAGAAGGCAATTTCTAATGTGTAGGAAATTGCACTCACAGTGAACACTTTCTGCACCACTAAGCAGTTGCTTGAAAGCTAAAGGGGTACTGACGTCAATTTTCAAAGCTAAATTTACTCAGTCATACAAATCTCCTTTCTACAAAAAGAATGCTCTGAGCAAGTGTGAATCCCAGTAATGATATCTTGCCATGAGATTAAATTTTTCACAAGGCACTTCTGCTCCGGCTAAAGTGTTGATTCTGGTGAACTCACATGCCAGTTATAGCCAGTTGTGGCTTTTCATTAGACACAAAAAGATCTAAAAATTTTCATGTCAGTATCCCTTTAAGGCCTAAATAAAGTGAATATAAATTTTTTAGTAACAGAGTGTTTTGGGCTTGTTGGTATGTCATACTGAGGGTTATTGCATACGAAGAAACACGAACGTGACACACCTTTCTTTGTCGATGTTTTTTTGTGCGCTATGGTCTTTAGTATGACAATAAACCATTTTCAGGCAATCTCAGAATGTCCCACGGGCATGCGAATCACTATAAAGAAAGTGTGTATGTCGAGCGAGCCGGCTGTTCGATCGTACGCTGTTCATTGGTGCGTAATGTGGGAGCACGAAACGAAAGAATGCGTTGCCACTTATTAACTGTTATTAAATCATGAATACTACACTCATCCTAATGCACCTGCATGAATGGATGAAATGTAAAAGAAATAAGGCAGTCAGCATTACTGAGTAGATGTGCATCGCATGCAGATGTATGTTATCAAAACGTACCATCATGAACAGTGTGAGCCGGAACACATAAGTTATATTCATTCAATGATTACTTATCAAAACGTACCATCATGAACAATGTGAGCCAGAACACACAAGTTATATTTATTCAATGATTACTTATTCCCACACCACTAAACTGCAAAGGGGTGCTACAGTATTCAGCCACATTCACAGATGATTATTTGACTTTAATTGATAAGCCACACACTGTAGAAAGATGTGCACAAAAAGGATAAGACTAGAATCCACTTGCAAGGTGTCTTCCTCCGACAACTTGCAGTTTCTTGGTACTTGCTAACCACGGAGCATGTTTACTGGCAGTGTACTTGTGTAGTTCATCAACAGCAAAACTGGTGTTTAACTTCATGTTGGGGCATACGAATATTATTAAAGAAAAAATAGTGATGTCTTGCTTATAATCAAAATTACAAAAAATACTTGCACGCATAAGCTGTGCAGTAGTTTTCAGCTGCAGATTGATCGCCTCCAGGAGGCAAGGTACCCGGCGCATAATTGCATCAGTTTTCATAAAAGCCTATTCGCTTTGCAAATAAAGATAAATACAGACGTCCTATACCTGTGAATAACAACAAAAAACTGGAATATTGCAGTTTTTTCATACATGCAAAATAAGTCACATGGCCTGAAAAATGTAGCGAAGCCATAGGGGCCGAGGATTCTGCTCTCTGCATCAACTAAGCTTAGTCGTATTTGTTCTGTAGTGAGAGAAGAGTTTGCAGTGTCTGTACTGGGAAAAGCAAAACACGTTAAGGGGCATGCCAATTGTTGTTAATTACTGAGTGGAGTTGTCAACTGAATTCCTCCTTACTGTGTTCCCATGTACACCGGCCTGACTTCTCTATGTATTGAAACGCGCCTGAGAAAGCACTGAAATTCATTGAATGAAGTCTCCTTATCTCACGCCTTACATTGTCAGCCACAAGAAACGTAATTCTGAAAATGTAAGGCTCACCTGTGCTTTTCCACATGGCAATTTTGTACAGTCTGACTATGCGAGATATCTAAGGGCATATCATGCAATAAAGAACACTGCACTTTGGGCAAGTCTATGTTACAAAACAAGAAAATCAACTTTATCAATAGACTGTAAACATACCCCTTGGATCTTTGCCATTTTGTGCCTCTTTATGACATGCGTGACGCACTCCCACTTTTATGTTTTTTTACCCGTGCAATAAATTTTCACTAGTAAGTGAGCGCTTGTGGTGTAGTTATTGGGCCAATAAAGGTTGGTAGGTGCTTATCGACTGTTACCTACAATGTGAGCGACATGCACGCTGTAAGTGATTGTATCCTATTTTACTTTATTCTGACCATACTTTCTATACATGCTCTTTTAATATCAAAACCTCCCATTCTACTTCTTGACAGTGCCTATAGACGTTCATTCTGAATGCATCCATAAATTTTAGAATGCTCTTGCATTTCATGGGTAATGTAGGTGTATCTTTACACATTTATGCCACAAAGTGTACTGGTGCAAAAAAAAATACAACAAAAAGTGAAGCTTCTGCACTGCCCAGCTGGTTAAACAGTGGGACATAAGAAGATTGCAGAGAGGCCATCACAGCTAAACACTGAGTTCACGATTGAATTACACAGTAATATCTTGCACCTTGCCGAATTCACATTATCTGAGAATGTGCTGGCGCGGCTACAGCAGAAAGCTGAAGCGCGATGCCCGTGCACTCGACACAGCATATACACACTTTTCCCATGAGCCCTTGCGCGTCCGTTGGAAGCATTTGTGTGCTTGAAAAAGGCCTGTTGTTTAGAGTTGTAAGTGGAAATGAACAAGTTCCGTGCAAGCTCCGTGCAACATGTAAGAATAAAAAAATCTGAATGTGTGAAAATACTTACTCAATTATTTGCTTGTATCCTGGCGATGTTGCTTTCTTCTTTTCTGGGGCTCTGGAGCTTCGTTCAACTTTTGTCATAGACCTTTTACGCTTAGATGAAGACTTGCTTGCTTTTTCAGTTCCATCACTTAAACATGCTATTTCTGGAGATAAAGACCGCTTCTTGGGCATTTGAGTGGCTTCTGTAAAAGTGTTTGCATCCCAGCTGAAAAAGTCTTTCACATACGCACAATCTTGCTTGTTGTGTCGCACAAGGTTGTCCATGCGGTTGGTACGAAAACTGCACTTTTGACAAGCATACTGGCTGGGACGACTGTCAGGTGTGTCTCGTGATGAAGCAACCTGCTGTCGATAATGAGTGATACAGGTCTTTTTCTTATTTGAAGTCTTTTGATTTGCTTTCAAATGAAGTGAGCTACTGCTGTTGCTAAATTTCATGCGTTCCATCTTGGAAGGGAGGGACTTGGTTGGTATAATAGGTTCAGCTCTAGCAGGAACTACAGCTTGCAAGTTGTCTGGTATTTTATGCAAGGCTGATTTACGTTTTTGAACTGCAGATTCTGAGGAGTGCTCTATACTCTCACCACCAGGAGATCTCATACGCACTGAGGGTTTGCGAGGACGAGATGATCGCCTCAGCTCCGGAGTAGCTACTGATCCATTCTGTGCAGCTGTATCACTAGACTTGGCCACTTCAGCAGGTGCAGTATCTTGCTCCGCAACATTTTGTGGCGCTGCTTGAGCAAATGGAGGTGACTGTTCTGCACCTTCAGCTTCATTAAGTGGCTCAGCTTCATTAAGTGGCTCAGCTTCATTAAGTGGCTCAGCTTGCTCAATGACATCCTGAGAAGCTACTCTGGCAGACAAAGAAGCTTGTTCAGAAAAATCTTGTGCGACTGCTCCAGGAGCACGAGCTGGTTGTTCAACAGCACTGTCTCGAACCGTTTCACCAGGTGGAGGGGGTACTTCAGCAACAATTGACTGAACTGCTTCACCAGGCAAAGCTGGCACTTCAGCAATGTCCTGAGTTGCCCCAGGCACAGCCTTATTCTGTGGCTCCTTGGAACACTGTGAAGAAAGTTCCTGCAAAGGTTCAACTTCCTGGTTCAAGTCATATGATTCTTTTTTCTCTTCCTCCAATACTTCTGGCATCTTGGTTTTGGGTACTGCCGCACTGCCCAAAACTGAATCCAGCTTTTCAATGCCAGGCTGCACAGAAGGAGGTGCACTTTCTGCATAGATGTCCAGAGCAGGTGTTTCTGATACTACAAGTTTCTCTGATTGCCCCAAACCAAGTGCCTTATGTCTGCACTCGGACTCAACTGCAGCATCAATCTCAACATGAACGGAGCTCTTTTTTACAGGGGATGCTGGTGGTATGGACAGGTCAAATCCTGGCTTCTCCATTTGATGAAGCTACAGAAGAAAAAAAATCTTGTTATTAACGAGCATGTCCCTTTAGCTAATGAAGAACATGAATCTTACAGGGCTCATGCACAAAAAAACATTAACTCCAGAAAAAACAGCATTAAACCCTTCAAAATTGCTGATCAGTTCAGTGGACCAACAAGTGCTTGTCTCCCTTTGATCAAAAATATTTTTTATGTAGAGACTTTCAAAGACAAATACTGTCAATACGAATTATCTTCTTCTAAAAACCACTGATGTTTGACCAATTGACAAGATCATTGAATAACATTAACCAGTGAACACACCTGTTCATAAATGCAGTACATTATACTGACACTCCACGGATGTGCAAACTAAGCCACGAGAATGCTGGTGGGCAGTGGGAGGCTAGGCATTGTATCAGCCAATAAGTAGTGAAAGCTGGCCGTATGCTCCAGATTATGGAGAAGGACGCGACTATAGTGCTTTATTAAAGGGATCCTGAAACAGTTTTTTATGTAAAGTTCACCAGAGATGTTATGCGGGCTGTCTGTCTATATTTGAATTCATTTCTTCCTGTTTTTTATGTGCGCTACAAAGAAACTTACTCAAGTTTTTTTTAAGTTTTTTTTTTTAAGTCTTGTCAGCATTTAGGCTAGAGCATCATCAAACCATTTGCACCACAAATTTAGTGACATGCCGTGTACCAAGGCCATTACAGATAATTGTATCATACCCTCCTTTTCACCTCGGCCGTGCCTCCTCAGCTCATGAGACACGCTGACATCACAGGCAATCTCAAAGCTCTCTTGAGTGCACTCAACGATTTATGCTTCACCTAGTCATAGCCTCGAAGGTCGCATGCAGACAGGTTGCATTCAATCTCCGAGACCATGACCTAGTGTACCTGGCAGCACTCACGTCGTCTGCAACAGAAACGAAGATTGCGGAGTGGTCGATATCTGCTCCAACAGGTGCCGCCACCCAACTAGCTGATCTTACTTCCAAGCGTTCCACAGCTAATCAGATCAGGAGCCTACGTGACATCATGCTACCAGACAATGTTGTACTGTTAATGTGCGGTTCAAGTGCGTTTGTCTGAGCCACAGTGATCTGAAATGATTTGCAGCTTTAAAGTGTTCTAATAAATTACACAGTTTATTCAGAGAGCCTAAATCAGTCTGTAAATGACCCTTAGGACTTCGTCTACTGGCCCAATATATTTGTACAAAATTGTCAAAACTGTTACAGGGTCCCTTTAAACATTCTGTGAAGATACCATTCAGTTGGCATCACTTAGTAGATAGTAAGACGATGTAAATAAATTGCCCTTTAAGCAGTTTTTATTTTTGTTGTTGTCAGGGACCCATAGCACTCACTGTACTGCAAGAAGTTCAATACAGAAGGTATTGTTCTCCTTCCTTACAGAAAGCTATATATGGCAGTAACTGCGAATCAGTTAATTGCCACCAACGCATGCTAAAATGTGCACTGGAAGGAACTCGGGGTGTTTGGAGGGTTGTCAGATCTGCCGGTCTCCTACTTCTCCTTAAGAGGCAACGAGTGTACATTGCTGGATATGTTTCTTGCTAGACATACACAGATCGTAGAAAGACTTTATCGTAAACACACAACATAGTATTACGAGGATTGTTTGCAAAATAAGGTTTCAAATAATTTTTCATATATTTATTGGCATTCAAATATACATTTTTAAAAATGGTACGACTTTCCCCTCTTTTAGGGGCGAAGCTCCTTAAGGAGTGGGTCTGTCTATCCCTTGTACGTTTGTAGTAGTATGTAGCCACCGGTGGCACATACCCGCTCTAGAGCGGGCATGTGCCACAGGAAATGCGAGATGGGAGATGGCGGTACTTGGAGTGTTCACTAGATGAACGGACGGACAGACTAGCAGACGGACGAACAGATGGATAGACGTGCAGATGTATGGACGGACGCATGCACAAACGAATAAACGCATGGATGGACGCACGGACGGACGGAAGCAAGAACGAACGGAAGCACGGACGGGCTGATGAACGCTTCGCCCCACTCATCATCATTCACCCCGTGGATATGCTGCGATTTTTTTGGACACTATATTGACATTGACATTAATGTACCGTTTTATGCGGTGTGCTATCTTATTTATTCCTAAACCGTATCTCTCCCACCATGCTGAGAAAATAGACTTCTTTCAGTTATGCTCAAGATTCTGCAATGAATTCCACTCAGGAGTTTCTTCAATTCCCCGAGAAGATGGTAGTCACTACAGGCTATAAGGTGGATTTGCGACAGCTTCCAGTTCAAATTCACTAATGAGACCGTTTGTTACACGAGTGATAGGCAGACAAGCATTGTCCAGGCGGGAATACACTCCCTTCAAGAGCATGCCTTTTTTGTTGTTTAAAATCGAATGGCAAATGTTCATCAACATCTCAGAGCAGTTGTCCGCATTAGTTGTACCAGCAGGCATAAATTTCCACAGGGCAGTGACTACTGTTGTTATTGACCTCCATGTCATGGCGCCTCTTGGAACCGCGGGATCATTTCGGCTAGATCTACTCCAATTTGTTCCAGCTTTCAACACTCCTTGAGGCGTCCAGGATCGGTGACAACACAGCAGTCATACTGCGAATTCTTCAGGGCCACTGGCTCGCCTCACCGAAAACCCTTTGGACACGCCCAACTGACAGATTGCTTAGAAAGGTCTATTTACAGGCTGAGCTTCTCAGAAAGAGGGGTCACCTCTGTGCTGCTTGGTTTGTCAAAGTACACCAGACAATAAGCCGAGCACCTGGAATCCATTTTCGGGGACGTTTTCCACATTACATGGTGCCTTCTTATCTTCATTTTTCCATACACCCAGCGGCCTGGTTGGCACCACTGCCACATCGATGAGTCAACACTGCACGTTGGACACTGCGTTATTTCACTGTGCTGTGTTGTGCCATATAATCACATTGTGTAGGGTGTTGTGCTCCTCTATCGATGTGGCGCGATCTGGGCGTGCCTCTTACTTCTTTCCTAGGTTGAGAAGGAGGCGGTGTTTAACTTTATGTTTTTGGGGGCGGAGATGAAGAAGACAGTTTCTTTCAAGGGTCCTGAACACAATTGTTTTTTCCCTGCAGGAAATTCTAGAAAGACCCTCGCTTAAACAAGCGAGCACAGAGATGCTTTGAGGATGCTTCTACCATTCTTGTAGCATCACGCTACCTTCAACATGTAAAATAGTGTAAATTTATGTTCCGGTTACCAGCTCCGGCTCCTCTGCTCATCTTCACCCTCAGACTTGGATGGTTCTAGTCTCGGACTGATTCCCCCAGTCACAGCAGCACTACGGTGACGTGGCCCGTCAGTGCAGTACTATCGTCAGAGTGAGGGGGGCCGTCAGCGTTGTTAATCGTAATAGCGAGGGGGTTGGTCAACTATGGCGATGCAACTACGGCGATGGTAGCGATGCAACTATGGCGACAGGCTTCATCACAATGACTACGGTGAGGATGCTCATCAACGTTGTGTTACAATAATATGAGGTCGCCCATTGCCACAAACTTGTAGTAGTTTTAGACGTCATCGTCAAGCGGTTATGGTGGCCCAAAGGATTGACGCGCAGTTGGAGAAGCTGATTTGTGGGATTTAACGTCCCAAAACCACCATATGATTATGAGGGACGCCGTAGTGGAGGGCTCCGGAAATTTCGACCACCTGGGGTTCTTTAACGTGCACCCAAATCCGAGCACACGGGCCTACAACTTTTCCACCTCCATCAGAAGTGCAGCCGCCGCAACAGGGATTCGATCCCGCGACCTGTGGGACAGTTGGAGAAGCGATAGTCCTGTGGGCTGTCAGTTTGAATTCCCATTTTGTTAGCTTTTGTGTGCGTGTGTTTCTTTTTTTGCTGTAATGCATTAAGAATTACGTAACAGTTCTTAAGGAGTCATAATTTTGTTCTTTTGCAACAAGATCACGTCACTGTTTGTGCCGATTGTTAGACAGCCCTAGGCCCTATTGTGTATATATATTTTTTCAAGGCGCAGTAGATAAGTTATTGGTCTGTAACACGATGCGTTGTTGGTGTGCGACCTCAGTTCCAATCATTCTGACCAAGTAAATTTTACTTTTCTTTTTTCTGCTTTCAAAAATTTTTGAGTAATGTATCTTATTTTTAGGAGGTAATCGTGTTGCGTGTTGTGACTGGGGGAATTTGTCCAGAACCGGAGCCAACCGAGTCTCAGGGCAAAGACAAGCAGAGGAGCTGGTAACGGGATTGTTTATTTACACTATTATACATGTTGAAGTTAGGGCGATCTACAAGAATGGTGGAAGCATCCTAGGAACGTCTCGGGGCTCGCTTTTTTCGGCCTGGGTCTTCCCAGGATTCTCTGCAGGGGAAAACAATTGAGTCCAAGACACCTCAATAAAATTGTCGTCTTCATCTCCGTCCCAAAGAGAGAAAGTCAAACACCGCCACCTTCTCAACCTAGGAAAGAGGGAAGAGGCACGCCAAGATCATGCCACGATGCGGGAGAAGCGCAACACCTCACACAATGCGATTATATGTCACGACACATCACAGTGAAATGATTTAGTGTCCAACGTGCAGTGTTGACTCTTCGATGTGGTGGTGGTGCCGGGCAAGCTGCTGCGTGTAGGGAAAAATAAAGATGGGAAGGCACCGTGGAAAGTGAGAAACGTCCCCGAAAACGGATCCCAGGTGCACAGCCAATTGTCTGGTGTACTTTGAAGAACCAAGCAGAGCAGAGGTGACAACTCTTTCTCAGAATCCCAGACTGAAAATAGCCTTTTCTAGGCAATCTGTCGGTAGAGTGTGTCCAAAGGGTTTTTTGGCGAAGCGAGCCAACGACCCTGAAGAATTTGCAGTGCCACTGCTGTGTTGTCACCTATTCTGGACACATCAGGGGAGCGCTGCAGAGCCGGAACAAATCGAGATAGATCTAGATGAAACCATCCCATGCATCCAAGCGGCGCCAAGACATGGAGGCCGATCACAACATGGGCAACAT